CCCCCCCCCCCCGGGTGCATGCCATCGCTGGGTCGGTCTTCCCTCGGGCAGAAGCGAGGGACACGACCAGGCAACGGGCGCTTACACAAATATGTTTGTACACTGTGGCGCACACCGCGCACAGCGTGAAACAATACCTCGCTGTGCTCCCGCCCCCTTCCCCCGGCCGCGCGAGCAACTCCGCGCGACGGCTGTCTGCATTCCACACCTCCACATTGCATGCGCGAGACGTGGGGGAGAGAATGCCCTGGGTGCCCTTGGGCAAGGGGGCGGCGAGGCAAGGCCCCAGCCACGGGCCGGGGGGCAACATCCGGGAGCATTCTATCTGCCCGGCTCACCAGCCGACGTCAGGCCGCGGCGCGAGAACTGCCGCCCCCCCCCCTGCCGAGAGGGGCGGTCGACGATGGCTGCCGCCTCCACCAATACCTGGAGGGCCCTGACCGCGTCCCGCCTGTCCAGCCTCCCAGTGTGGGGGGAAAAGAGACATCAACAGCTCCACAGCATGCTGACCACCTCTCAATGCCGGTTCCCCGGCTCCGGCTCGCGAGATACACCGGCGCCCCCGGGGTCCGCAGAGGGGGGGGGGGGGGGGGGGGGGGGGGAAGCCACGAAGGGATGACGACCGAGAGGAAGGACGGGCGAAACACAATCGATGGGTGCTCATTTGCGGGCGGCCCCCACCCAAATGGGAAGCCGGCACCCCCACGGCCCTCCGTGTGACATAAGTATCTTTCCGGGGGGAATGCGTGATCATATTTGGCGCATTGAAAAGCACCTCGTATGACTTGTTAATGTTATTTTAAATATTCATATTTTAATCGGCCTGCCCGGCGAACGGGCGCCCCTTTCGAGTGCGTTGCCATAGCCCCGAGAGGCCGGGGGCAGAGAGCCAAAAGCACCCCCCCCCCCCCCCAGCGCCATGGCCGCTCTGGAGCAATGCCCTTACCCGCGAGCGGCAGTGCCAAGGGGGAGGAAAACCCATGTCCGACCAATGCACATATGGGGTACCCCCTCCTGCCGCCCTCTCCTGAGACACACACGCGCACACGCACGCGCACACGCACGCGCACGCACGCACGCACACACGCACATACCCCCACCATCACCGCCCTCCCGGCTGCAAGCCACCCGAAGGCGCATCCCCACATTCCGGCCACAGCGTGAGACGGAGACGCAAGCAGAGACAGAGGAAAGTCTAAAAGAGTATATTTGCATGAAGGGATTACTGGAAGAGGGGGGAGGAAGAGGAGGGAGAAGGGGGGGGGGGGATAGGAGAGTGGCAGGGGATCGCCCCTCGCCGATGGAGCCTGCCGTGGCTTTGGGATGACAGCGACAGACACCGCCATGCGGCGAAAGAGAGACCATGAGCCGACATCAAGGAGGGAAGGGAGAGAAAGAGAGAGACGAGAAAGAGTCGGCGAAGAAGAGGAGGGGAGGCCACCAACCGGCACCATACGCTTGGGCTCGGCCGTGCACGCGGCGCCGCCGGGAGGGGGGGACAGAGAGAGGCAGGCGGACAAAGGGCACGATGGCGGCGGCGACGGCAACGCCAGTGATGATGATGCTGCCGCCGGCCGCCTGCGCCTCCCGAGGGCGCGTGTCGTCGACAGCGACGCCAGGCGACCACCAATCCGCCCGCCGGTGCGTGTGCTGCTTCTCACACATGCATGGTGATGGAAAGAAGGGACATGCCAGCGCCAGATGCTGCTGCCGGCGTCGCCGCCTCGGCGCGCCCGCTTACTCATCGTCCTGGATCTTGGCCGGGTTGACGAAGACCGGGTCGTCGACATCGGTGGACGCATGGTAAGTGATGGAGGACTTGTCGAGCGGCTGGCGAGTGGCAATGCTCCGAGCCAGCTGCCGGTGAGTGACATAGTCGAGGTCGGCATTCTCGAAGGCCTCATCCACGCGGTCCAGCATGGTCTCCTGGTTATAGTGGAAGTTGAAGCCATTGCTGAAGTCCAGCTTCCCACGGCGACCAGAGGGGCCGGGGTTCCGGGCCGGCCGGGGAACACGATCGGCCGAGAAGATCCGGTGGTAGTAGAGCAGCTCGTCCCGATCGACCAGGCTCTTGGAGAAGTCGTTCTCCAGCAGGTACTTGTACGGCCGGAGGTTGCGGCTGCCAAGATCCTTGAGCTCGGCCGGGGCATCCTTCGACAGCTTGGAGAAGCTGATCGGGTGCACGGGGAAGCGCGGCTCCAGCCCAGGCGCCTTGGGCGGGAAGTAGGTGAGCCCATACTCGCGCCACTTGGCAGTCTCGCGACCAAGCTCGGTGGTGGTAGCCGCCGCGGCCCGGCCGGAGGCGTACACCTCGGAGAAGTCGTCCTGGTACTCGTCCTCGTCGAAGGAGGCCATCGGGCCGTCGGTACCGACGCCGGCCTGGCTGACCTTGCGCGCGGTGGCCACGTAACCCTTGATCAGCTCCTCGAGGAACTCCTGCTTGTGGGCATCCGACCAGTAGGGGTTATCCTTGAGAGTGCGGTAGACCACGCGCAGGTACCACTTCTGAACCTTGGTGAGCTTGACATCCTCTGCGTGTGCGTAGGGGGGAGGGAGTGAAGGGCTGTTAGTTACCTTTTCGTACAGGAGG